TGATTGGGTGTAACTGTGTAAGTATATCATGAAACGTATATCGTTTATATCGTAATATCGTTGAAACGTGTCGTGAAGATGATCTTTAAAGACTTCAGCCTTATCAATGTCAGAGAAGTCAAATGAAATTTTAAAATCTAAAACATGAAAATGTGGCTTGATTAATCCTCGTATATGTTTGGAAAAATTAAAATTTTTTTGAGAATTCAAATTGAGTTAATTGTTGTGACATATTGTTGGAATTAGAGTTGAGGTATTAGTCATTTTCAAACCATAATAGTACATATGATGTGAATTTAGATTTCGTTATAATATGATTTGTTTACCTATATAGGCAGACGCGTAGCCAGGACATTTTTAGGGGGCTGTTTTAATTTTATATTTACATATAACATGTGGGAGGCTTTACACACAACATTTTAGTCATCAATCTTTGTATTAATAATATCAAATATGAAAAAGAATCATATACTACAACATAGTTTGAAGAAATCTTAAACATAAGGTACATATACATACGGCAGATGGAAGTGTATTTCAACATCCAAAACACCTTGCTGATCACGCCACTGTAGGTACCTATAAGCATTGTTTTTCTAAATTATCATCTACCACCTTCTACCTATAAATTAATGTTACTATTATTTAAAAGTCAACAAACATTAAGTCAAATTTGATTTTATCATTTTAATTCCAATCAAAGTAATAAAATCAAGTATTTGCTTAATTTGTGTGTTCCGACACACACAATATGTGTTTTATTCATAGAATCATTACAGTACCATCTGGTTGAAATGTATGCATCTATGACATTAAAAGTAAAACCATTGTTTTGAATTTTTTTTTATTAATACAAGTTTAATTAAGTATCAAACATTTAATTTATAATTCACTATATTAAGTCGCTGTATCCAGCTCCTTAGCTAGATACACAATAATATACTGATATACATAGCAAAGCAAAGAACTCGTTACATAAAATCTAATAAAAATAAAATTCATGTTGCGCATGTAAAAAATATTACTAAGTTCTAGTCGTCAAAATCTGGGTTGGGCATGGGACAACCGTTTTCTTGTGCGTAAACAAGGCAGTCAATGTGACCGAACATCTCGGCGGGCACCACGTCCACTCGTCCCAAGGGCACCCGTTTTCCCGGGCGTAAACCAGACAGTCCATGTGACCTTTCAATGCGGCGTTGCTGCACGTCCGCTGGTTCCAGGGGCACCCGTTTTCCCGTGCGTAGACTAGGCAGTCCATGTGACCATTCAATGCGGCGTTGCTGCACGTGTTCTCGTCCCAGGGGCACCCGTTTTTCCGCGCGTATACCATTAAGTCCCTACGACCGTTTAACGCAGCGCTGCCGCAAGTGTCCACGCTCCAAGCGCAACCGTTGTCCCGTGCGTATATCAAGCAGTTTATGTGACCTTATTGAAAGCAGCTTTTCTACATGTTTCCTTATTCCACGGGCACCCGTTTTCCTTGGCGTACTGTAGACACTCTAGATACCCCGGTTTCGCAGCCCGGTCGCATACCTTATCATCCCAAGGGACGCCGATTTCATGAGCGAGTTTCAGGCAATTGTTGTGGCCGTGAAACGCTGCCTCCTCGCATATGGTTTTAAACCTTTTGTCGTTGATGGCGATCAGCGACCTGCTGAACATGGTTTGCCTATTGTTAAACGCGTTTCGGTTTTTGTCAATTTTAAATATTTCAAATAGCAACTCTCAACAATATCGCATATTGATATCCGGTACATCCAGCAGGTCGTACTTGTCACGCTCGAACTTGTTACAAGCGTAGTATGCCGTTTTCAACAAGCTAGGTAATTCATACGTTCTCTCATTGTCCATCGTAGCAGTCCGCCTGTACTGTACATTGTAGGTACAATTTTGGCAAACACAGGAAAATTCGAAATTCACTCAAACCCTTTAAGAATAATTATTAACGGTTAAATTATAATAGGTACTAACAAATAAATAAGTCGTATTTTGAGTGGATTTAATGCGGGAATTGTCTGCCTGGAGTGGGACCACAAAGAAGGCCTATTCTTTAAACAATAAACGCTATGTAGTGGTATATAAACATTAAGAACGAATGTAGGCTGTAGCTATTACTTCCCAAACGATTTTTTGAAACATTTTTTTGGAAATGTTAGTATTTTTATGCTAACTTGTTGGTGAAATCAGAATTTACCTATCTTAGGTAGGTACTTCCTTTGTAGGTATGTTATTGTTATCAAACCTCGTAATAATTAATTGCCTACAGGTTATACGTGGTTTATGAACAATAACAAAAAAATTAAGTAAGATAGATAAATTCAGAATTCACCAACATGTTGAGCATAAAAATATCAATGTTTCATTAAAAAAATGTACATTTTTAGTATTTTAAACTCAAAAACACGATTTTTTCAAAAATCGAGCATTTTGAAGTTTTTCGACTATAACTTACAAACTAAGTTCGATCGATTTTTAGATTCTGAGTGAAACGATGAATGTATTGATTTTACAATGATGTGTGTTTTTTTTTTTATTTATTTTTTTTTTATTTTTTTTGTGTCTGTGTACACGATAAGTAGTCGAAATAATGCTTCGATTTTCGACTTCAGTATCTTGTTCGATTGGAAAGTGAATATCGTTGGTGCATTGGGGAGGTCAAAATTTAAATTTCCCAGTAGTTTTCAAGAGCGCCGGGAAAAAACAACATAAAAATTAAGGAAAAACGGGAATTTTTACGCAAAATCGGTTTTCCAAAAAATCGATTCTGGTTTTTGGTGTAACTTTAAAACAAATGACCGTAGATACATGAAATTTTCACTGGTTGTTTATATTTGCATCTTCTATACACGATAACATTTTCAAAATATTTTGATTTGTTTTGAACAGTTTAGGGACATTTTCATTTTTCGTTTTTTTTTAGTTTTTTTTCTAGAAATATCAATAAAATTTTATTTGTTGGTTGCGAAAGCTTGAAAATTTAATAGAAGGCTCCTAATATATTGTTTCAAAGGCAGATGAAAAATATTAAAAATCCTTAGTCACAATTTTTATTTATAAGCATTTAAAGTTCAAAAATTGACAAAATATGGAAAAATCACGAAAATTAGCAAATTATTTTGAGTTAAGAATTTGTAAAAATTTTTCTTTTTAAATCTAAGATTTGAAAATCTAATACAAGATTACTCATAAGATTGTCTACCTTTATCAATAAAAAAATCTCTACTGGAAAGTCAAATTAAATTTTTATGAGCGTTTGAAATTCAAATTTTTACAACATTGGATATTCACTCGATTTCTCATGTGGCAATTTCCTTTTTTTGTTGTAATTAAAAAACGAATTACTGTAGATACATGAAAATTTCACTGAATGTTTATATTAGCGTTTCCTATACACCATACAATTTTGAAAATATTTTGACTCTTTTTGAGCCGTTTACGGACATTTTCAGTTTTCAATTTTTTTAGTTTTTTTTTTCTATAAATATCAATTAAGTTTTATCTGTTGGGCCAAAAAGTGTAAAAATTTAATACAAGGCTCCTGATATATTGTTACAATATCAGTTGAAAAATATTAAAAATACATAGGCACAATTTTTTTTTATAAGCATTTTAAAATCGAATTTTGACAGAATTTTTCAAAATCTCGAAAATTATTAATCATCGTAATTAATAAATTATAAAATGTTCAGTTTTTATAGCTAAGGATTGAAAATTTAAAACAAGATTCTACGTAAGTAGTTAATTCTCTTACCGAAAAATCTAAAAAATATACAATCACAGTTTATTTTTATAGTCATTTTATGTTCAAATTTGGACGAAATTTCATATTAAAAAACCTAGTTATTTTGTTGTGATTATATAATATTATTCGTGGGTACGTGGTACCTACTTGAAACTTCTAAAGTGTATTATTATATATCTATGATAGTATCAGGGTTTGTTATTGATGTTGATGTATAACGTGTTATAAGTACTTAATGGATATTGTGATAATGTGATATGATTAATTTGGAATTTATTATAGGTCAATTTTTTTTAATACCATAGATATGTATATAATTTGTCTTAACCTAGACTGACATACCGTCTTCGCTCAGAATCGTTTTTCTTATGCAATGATATTGTATCATTGAATTCAAATTTAATAGCATCAATTATATAGTGACCCACTTCTAACCTACTGTACAGCAGAGCGACATCCACTTACCCACCTTTTTTTTATGTACCGTCAAATTAAGCTGCGAAAACACACATTTTGAATAATACTCTATCAATATTTCTTTGCTAATATTGATATTTATACAATATTGTTGGCATGTGACACATTATTTACATAATTTTGTATTTAAATATTTAATAGTATATAATAATACACAATTTGATAGGTAGGTTACATTTTAAAAGGAAAATTAATATCTAAAATATAACACCAAATTTTACCACTATTTATTTTTTTTATTTATTTAAAGAATCGGTCTTCTTAGCGCTCCCAGCGGACAATTTCCTTATTAAATGCCGTCGAAATACTACTCAAAGATGTCTTAATCAAACATAATATTAAGTGACTTCACCGTATTATCTACATCGTGGTTTAGAATTTAGATTTAGAAGACAAAAATATTAGGTAATGTAATGAGAAAGACAGAAAGTTTTAAAATAAATGGTAAGAAATATTTAATCAGTGCTTTCGTTATTATCAGTTACTTGAAAACACATACTATTGGCATAGGTATTTGGGGACTTTTGTAGGTAGTTTAGTTATAAGTTATAACCGAACATGATAAATGTTATATTTAGAACGATTGTTCAAAGGTGCGTCGAGGCGACGAGTGTGGATATTTGGAATGGTATGACTGCTGTCCGGCGGCAATACGTTAATGACAATACTGTGTAGGTACCACAGATGGCGCAGTCCACGGAAGTGCCATCGGTCAGCCAAATGGGCACGTCCAAACGACTGATTTCTTGGCAGGATATTAAGGGATTGATTGTCGGTATGGATGCTTAGGTGTTTCTGTGGTTTTGTCGACGTCCCGCGACGGCCACAACCTGGTCGCTACCTGACCGAACGCCATCGTCGAGCCCTACTAAGTATCCGACTCGCGCCACCCCGGGTAGACCGCATACCACATATAACCATACCAGAAACGGCAGCTGAGCATACTTACCTGGCGTATAGGTCAACCGTGATCAAATGGGCGGTTCCTCCAGGGCGAGACTTGTCCATTGCACCATGGGATGGGTTGACCCCTGCGAGTATCCCTAATGTGGATACCTCGGGCGCACAATTTTTGGTATTTGGGACTGCGTACGCGCTGTCCCTTGAATTATAATGAGAATCAACCAAACAACAGGATTTAGTAAATACGTGATTTTTCCATTAACATTTAAAGATATCTATGAATATTATAGCAACTGATTTATGCTCAATAAAATATAACTCAAATGGATATTATAATTTTATGTTGGTCTAGCCTGTGCGTCATGTAGGCAATAATATACGCATTGGAAAGTATAATATATTAATATATCTACACTCCTAGTATATAATATTATGTAGATGTACACGCATTATGTATATGTTGTTGATACATTCTGTAGATGCGTAGAGAACCGTCACACATTTTTCTCACGGATTCCAGTCAGAATCAGTTCCGGTGTCGTAGGTTTCTAATACAAGTAATACCCACAAATGTTTTTACTCCCAGGGTTCCTTTAAAGTTTAAACAGTAATTTATGGCGTCGGAAATATTTTTCATAATAAATGGAAAAATCTAAAAGGATCATTAAGATTTAAGAGGACGCTACAACCGCATGTGTTGTCTCTGCAGTCTTACAAATGTACAAGTACAACACAGAAAAAACTGTTTTTCACGAGAAAGAATTGAGAAGGCTACAGTCATAACTAAGAAACGATATTTTTACCACATAAAAAGAAGTACCTACTTTGGCTGAGCAATATAATTTTATATTTATTTTTTTGATATCGGGACTACAAAAAAAGTTACTAAAATTTAAAAAACATATACAATAATGGATTTTGAAACAGTAAGAACTTTTTTTGTATTAGTGATATGAAAAATATAAAATCGTTATTGCACAGCCAAATTTCTCCTTTTTATTTGTGAAAATGTCGTTTCTTAGTATTACTGTAGCCTTCTTGGTTCTTTCAAAACTGTTTTTTCCTCGTCGTCCTCAGTGACAACACATGTGAGTGTAGCGTCCCCTTAATTGATTACTGTATTTCACACAAATTTAAATTTTAAACTGCTTATTGTAAAGTTGTTAACATCAGCGGAAATACCCGTGGTACGATTACATTAAAAATCTGAAATATTATAGAATATATTTTAGCTTCCAGATGAACTTATTTAATCATAACTTAATATTGGTTGGTAATATAGATAGATTATATTTTTAACATTCAGTGAAAATGTTTTTTTTTTAGTGTTACAGCAAAAATCAAATTCGATTTTGTCAAAAACTGATTTTGAGTACAAATTCTCTTTATTCTTTAATTTGTTTTAGTTTTTATTTCGACGCATTTGAAAACTTCTAGGAGTTTTCAATTTTGACCTATTGAATTCACCAACCGATTCACTTTGCTACCATAAAAGTTAATGAAGTTGATAAGTAGTGTACGCTTATCGTGCATGAATATACACACACATCATTGTAAAATCAAAAGGTTCTTTCATCGGTTCGCACAGAATCTAAAAATGTTGATACAGTATTTAAGATACTATAAAAGATACTGTTGAAGAAAATCTAAGCATTTTTACTATCCTAAAACTTGATGACAGACAAAAAAAAATGAAAAAACACATCATTGTAAAATCAATACATTCACCGATCCGCTCAGAATCTAAAATTGAAAATTATTTAAAAAAATATAAACATCCTTTTACTTCTGTAATATCAAAAATTACTAAATAATAATAATGATTTAAATAATTCATAAACGGTGAAAAGTTATTTAAATTAAATAATACATGTCGGATTTTCTTATAAGTATAGTCATGTTTAATTATTTTTACAGTTCACTATCCATAACTAGTAACTACCATAATATGTGTTATATACAGTTACAATTTATACTACATTTATGTTACAATATACTTAGTATACATATTTTTCATAAATATTACGAATCCATTCAACGTGACATTTTATGCTCGTGAAGACAGCTATTGAGTTTCTTGAGTGTAGATCCTTGACACTAAATATTCCAGTTAAAAATGGTCCTGTGCTATATTCGTATATTAGGCCCGAACCTCCAAATCCTATAAGATTTCTTTCTCCTGTAACTAAAGTTTCGAAATATTAGTATATATTTATTTTATAGTTTATACACATTACCTACACATAAACATACAATTTATCACTGAATTACATTATGCTTTTATTATATTCATTGAACAAAATACTATATAATAGTTTATTCTGCTCTGTTATATAAATACCTTTAATAAATGAACTTTTGTAAAGATATATTATGGTTCTGAAGGCCTCAAACAATTAAAAATAAATAAAATAACTATAATATTTGGTTCTGTCTGATGTGGCACGATAATTTATTTATGTTTAACACTGCGTACGCTTTGATCTGCTTTACACCGTAGAAATTTGAATGAATCGAGAATGTAATGATATTTGTTCATAACTACACTTTTTTTTCTGGTAAAAATAGTAAAGTTTTATGTTATTTTATCAAATGGAAATAGTCTATAAAAGTATAAAACTGAGAAAATCTAAATTATTTTTAGTAAATGTTACACAGCTGAGCTCCAACTCCGTTCAATAGAATACCTATTAAAACTATAAGAATCATTAGTTTTTTTTTACCCAATTTATAACCTGTGCAAAATTTATCTTTAGTCACGTAATTTTCAAATCCATCAGTGTACATTTCCTGACACGTTTCCCTGTCAATATATGGTAAAGTATATAATTTTAATATTGATTTATGTTGTCCATTGCCAATCATTTCGTTCATTCCTAGGCCAAACATCTATAAAACAGATTTAAAAAGTATATATTAAAATGGTTTAAATGAATTATTAAATAAAGGAAGGGTCTTACTTTTGAAAATAAATAATATCTATAATAATACAAATTATACTTGCATAACATAGATTGTAGACATATATATATATATATTATGTATATATATTAGACATTAATATATTAATAAGAATACTATTTAATGTTAATTGACAATTATTTAGGGTTATACATTTATCAATAACAAACAGTCAATTATTAATTAATATTTATAAGAAATATAGTAGGTAACTAATAAAATACTATAAGCAATTCATGATTAGGTAGTTTTTAAATTGTTGTAAATTAAGGTTTTAAATTAATAAAATTAATTTCACAATTTAAGGATATTTGTTGATTATGTCACAAATATTCATAGATAGGGACTCATGTCCGTGCTCAAGGTGGGGGGGTTAAATAATCCCCTCCCCAATGACGAAAAACGTGGATATCAACCAAACACAGAAAGCATTATTTTCTACCCTTCGTCGAGTATAATTATTAAAACAATGATTTATATTTTATAGTATTGATAAAAAAAAAAAAAACCACTTTTAATGAACTTACAAAATTAAGAATAAACATAAATATATAATACAAAATATTTGCTAATTATTGGTGTATCTATTTAATTAAATATTTTTTTTTCTAAACTATATATTTTCGGAACTTGTTGTCGATAAATGAATGTAATTTAAACCTCCTAAATTACTTCGATGTAATTTAGAGATTCTTCTGGAATCACTAATACAAATTTATGTTAAATAATATCAGGGCTAAATAAGTTTATCATTCCAATACTAAATAGTGAGTTGTGAGTAATTTGTAAACAATGTGATTACCTTTCCTAGATCTCCATTAGAAAGGAAATGTGTCGCAGACCAATCAATGGAAACCGGACGAACACCATTACTAACTACGACATTGGATGCTAACACGATGACAGAAATGTCATCAGCATAATGTCCAGATGGACCATCATAACTATCCTCCAGATAAATTAAACCGATCTAAAATTGTATAGTTTACATAATATAATTATTGTTTTGGAAACATTTTTTAAACATCAAACATCAAAGTCAGTATATTATATTAATTATTTACTTACATAAATAATCTGTGTATATGTATTGTCTATTGAAGAAATATTGCTATTTTCTTTTCCAACGGCAGTTTTAAAAACATTATTTTCATTCTGTAAGATCTTCCTTCGTAACCCCTTTTTCCAAAAACAATGGGCAGCTAAAAACAATTAAAATACATTATTCATTTTTCACTAAATATTATGTATTATATAATTATAATTATTTTTACCGGAGACAACTAAATTTGGAGCAATCAATGTTCCTCCACATACTCGGAAATAACGACCATAGTTATTAATTTTATATATTTCCACATTCCAAGGTGCTATTACAGATGGTTCTTTTAATCTATTCGAGGTTGATTCTGTACCTAGGGTGTATAATGGACAACCATCAAAAACAATATTTAAATACTTAAATTAATATTCTGATAATTCTAGACTAAAATTAAGCTTAAAAACTAAAATGATATATTGGCAGTTTGAAAGTATATAAATTGAAGCATCACAAAATTAGTTAAAATGATAAACAAATGTTTGTGTATGAAAATAATTTAACCAATTCGAAATCTAAGTTATTGAGTTCCAAAATGTTCGATTTGTTTTATACGACAGTCGACAGGCAAGTTTTAAAGTATTGTATACAACATTTTTTATCATAGTATAATTACGTGAAGTACAAGTGGTAAGTAGTTGACCACTCCATTTTGCATTTTTAAGACAATGCAACTCATTATCAGCTTTTATTAATCCTTTTTCTCTTGGTGAATTATGTGCATTTTCAACTTTACATGATTGTGTTAATATTGTACCAGGTTCTGATGGCTTTGAACAATTTACATTAACTCCATTCAGTGAACATTTAATATCTAATACATCTGATACCATAGGAGTACACTTTTCTAGTATCATAAGGAAAATATTAAATTATAAATTATATATTATCCAATATAATAGGTATATTTAGCTACTTGTCTTGTATTGTCATTTGTGATTTATCTCGTTAATATTGGTTTACATCATGACGTAAATCAATACAAATGTAAATTATTCAATACTTACTCAAGCACAATGTATCGGAATCAACTGATTTCCATTGTCCAGACTCCGAACATACCATCAATTTATACGGAACAGTTTTATAATATCCTTCTTCACAGTCCTCTTCAACAATGCGATAATTATTCACTATAGACCCACTTGATAGAGGAACGTTTTGAATCGTATCTTTATAAAAATACTTAGTACCCTCAATGTTCGGTATCACGCAAGTTTTTCTAAATGCAAATTAACATAACAATGATACCTATGTTAAGCCCTTTCATTAACCACGTATTTCGTTACCATGTAGAAATAGATATAATTAAATAAGTGTAAATACTTTTGAATAGAAGATTGGTTTATAGACTCAGTTGGTTTGATTTTTGTATCTGGCGACGAAGTAGTTGTAGGTGCTGTAGTTTTCCATGCTGTAGTTTTCCATGGTGTAGTTGGCGATGATGTAGTTTTCCATGCTGTAGTTTTCCATGGTGTAGTTGTTGATGCTGTAGTTTTCCATGGTGTAGTTGGCGATGCTGTAGTCTTCCACGGTGTAGTTTTCCATGGTGTAGTTGTCGATACTGTGGTAGTTGATTCTGTAGTTGTCGATTCTGTGGTTGTCGGTTCTGCAGTAGTTGATTCTGTGGAGATATTTTCAGGATTTACTTCAGATTCTGAAGTTATCGAGGATGAACATAGTTCCTCATCAGAACCATCTAAACATTGGGTCACTCCATCACATCTACCCTCTATATTTATACAAGCACCATATGTGCATTTGAATCCGTATATTGGACACCTTTAATGTAAAATATTAATATTAGTTTATAGGTACCTAGTTATCATTTAAAATATTATTACTATTATTATTATTATTATTATTATTATTATTATTATTTTATTTATTATAAATCAGTTATATTACATATGCTTATATTTTTAACCATCTCAATCAACTCACGGGGTCGGTTCACATAAAACTTGTGTTTCATCAGATCCATCACTGCAATCTTGAATTCCATCGCAAGTAGTTGCAGCATCAATGCATTGGCCGGATTGACAAGCGTACTCCGACTCTCTAAAAAAAAAAACTAAGTATGATGTATGCAATGGATAATATTTATTAAATACTTAATTATTCTTTTGTTATACCTACTTGGGGTAAATCTGTGTTTAATACGAGGCATATTCTTAAATATATTATTTAGAATAAGTGTTTAGATAAAGCGCACAGATATTGTTTTAAACATAAATAATAATTATAATACAAGCCGAGTAAAAACACCATTTTTAAAAATACTTCTATAAAAGACTTGATGCATTTATTTTTAGAAATAAATAAATTGTCCATGAGAAATAAGTTATCACTAAAATATAATCAATCACTTAATAACTACATTAATACTTAATCTAGAACTAGATTTAACATGATGTATACCTACTATTGCATTGTCAAAATATAAACATAATTTTGATTGAAATATCTACTTAACTGAATTAACTCGCATAGGTACCTTAGTATTAACCTTCGTAAAAATGTAATTGCAATTTAAAAATTATCACAAATTTGTAATTAATTACATGCTTGAGTATTTGTGAAATTATTATTACTTTCTATCAACTTATTTATAATGTATAGGTGCCTAAAAAATATGTTATAAAGTTAAACCGTAGGTATTCATTATATACAAAATCAATGGTTATTAATTATTATACTAACTCTGGGCAAGATGGTTCAGTTTGTCGTTTTCTGATGTCTCTATCACACAAAATGACTGTTTCTAAAATAATAAAATAACATAGGTAATGACATAATTTGTTAATATAATTTTTATAATTCAAACAAATAGTTTTTGAGTTATTTAACTTTTTATACTAAAGATAGTTATACGTTCACGATAGTGGTTTTGGAAAATACTGGGGCTGTGATGATTTTAAAATTGTAGTAATTAATATTAATCTATCAAATTTTATAATTTGTAAAATTGTAAAATTGTCCTAGTAAAATAAATATTAAAATAAATATTACATATATAACTTAACATTTTTAAGGATTATTATTTATTATTCATAGTGTTTACATTGTAATAACTCAGGAGCTACTCGTTCGTTCTACTGCACAAATCTGTATCAAGAATACCTCGTAATTGAGTATGTCCCTGTAACGTATATTTTGAATATAAACTAATTTTGTATTAATTTTTATTATAAAGTATACGTTACATAACGAATAACGATCCATATTTTCGTCATAGTGTAGTTCAAATTTCGTATAGTGTACTATTTTTTGAACATTTTGACTTATTACATTCAATGAATATATATTAAGCTGATTATTTTTTATTTTATAAGTATTGAACCCTTATTAAGTTAAGAAATGGAAGATGATAGGCGACCTACAAAATATTTCACTACTACCTTTGCAAACGACCATACCACGTTGAATACTAAAAAAAACTATTACCTTAATGTTCATTAATAATTCATCACTTTTATAACAATTTAAAATATGTAGTGGGTTTTCAGTTGTCATTAAAAAAATATTTAAGAACCTTAAAATTATCTGAATCAAAATATAAAATTAGATTTTAATTTATAATTTTTCAAGATGAAGGCCTCCACGGGAGGCCTCTTTACTCTGTATATCCATGTCGCTATTTTATTTTATTTATTATCATCAAAATATCAAATAATCTTATTGTTTTAAATCGTAACAGTTTGCCTAACAAAGAATTTTGAGAAAAAAAGATTTTACTTTATAAAACTATATAGTTTAATTAGTTCTTAAAGTTACACCATAATATTATTTTTAGAAACACTAAAATTAGCAGGGATGATTCTTCAAGTTTTAAGGAATCTCCATTATATATTAATATAACTTATGTATGTTCTATAATATACATATATCTACGTATATCGCCTTAGATATTAATAAATTAGAATACCTAAAAGGTAATAAAATACGTTTTAAATTTGATTATTTTACAAACTCGTTTGATGTATTAATATTATAACTTAAATACTATTAACATACACTGCCATTTTTTTGTATTAAAATATACGTACCAAATACTAAATATGAGTATATAACCAGAATAAATGTATCTGCTGACTTCATGGCCGATGACAAAAATATCACAGAAAATAATATTATAATATTAACAAAACTATAAATGTAGAATGTATTATGTACCTATTATACTATGTTATATGTTAAATAATACACTAAAAAAAATACAAAATTGAAAATAATCACCGAGAAATATCACATGTGTATTGGTTATGGAATTATGTATTATTTTTGAATTTTTAGGGTTACAACTGTTAGGTAGAAGTTGTGTATTAGGAATGCTTCAGATGGTATTGCAGATTGAAATACAGTGGAACCAAAGCTACTATTTTGAAGAAAGGTGGGAGAACATGGATGTCGTTTCCCTCCAAAGATTTTTTTTTCGATGCGTACCTATATATACGTTGTAATTTTGGAAAAATGAATAATGAAAATTTATCACATGAATTGTTTGTATTGTCTTGCCTATATGTAGAACGATCAACGAACCCATATATTATACCTAATCTGTGGGATACATTGAAGTGCCATATTATTTTAATGAATAAACTGCAGATCGTGTTTTGAGTAGGTAACTATAGTTTAGTAGGTGGGGTATTCATTAAAAATAAAAATCTCACCATTCGTTTTCAGTCACAATATATGTATACAATTAAGATAGTAGCTAAAATCAAATGTATAACTTAAGAAAAATTCATGGTAAACTTTAACGATATCATAGCAATGTTATAGGTAACAAAAATAAAGCGTCACTATTCACTGTATATTTAATGCATTTAATATTGTACAAAATGGTTTAATACCACATTTTTAAATGTCTTATAATAAACTTGAAAATGCCAAGATAAAATAATACCTCCCAGTTGCCACCGAGCCATTTTTATTGACAAAATTACTTTAAGTAGATAAGTACCATGGGTAACTGAGAAATAGACAAATTCTTGGTGTTGTTATAGTATACCTACCTAGCTCTGACTTTGGGATAAACATAAAAAATAATGTACTAAAATTGCGTTTAGCATTGTTTATGGTGCTGTCGATAAATTATTTCATGGATTGATCGTTCGGGAAGGTTGCCTAGTAGTCAATTTGATATCGAATTGAATAGTAAGGAATGAACTGTCCGAGCTTCAGGTTCTTGTTCGATTCTGTTTATTTTATGTTTATATTCGTGCATCAGATATATTATATTATCATATTATTATTTTGGAAGTTAGGTATTATTTAATGTGTAGGTACGTACACTTAGTTGTACGTTCTATGTAAGTTGTATTTTAAATAAGATACCTAATAATATTATATATTGTATAGATATTATAATTGTACAGATAACATATTATGAACAATTTATAACAGCCCCCTCCCAATAACCGACCTATGAATACACCACGATCAAGGGCATACTGCGTTTGCAAGTAATGAAAAATATACATATACCTAACCTATAGGTTCATGAACGAAATAAAATTGTTGTTTTTCAAATTTAATGTATTCTGTACATAATGTTTTTATATGTTCAGGCAAGTGTGTAAAACTGGTTATCTATGTATGCATACATTTAAGTCTTAAGATATATAATTATAATAATGTATATTTTATATAATATAATATAATATATTGTATATTCGACCCAACGCGTTGGATGGGAATAAGACATGCACATCGCGCTAATTAATATTATTAATAGAATATAATAATGCGAACAGTGAGTTTGAAATACTTACAAACATATTAGTTAGGTTTATAATATATTAAACTAAAGATTCCAGACTCTTCCGACCTTGACGCTCCACACTACGTCATAAAAAATACGATGAAAACAAGTTTTTCTCTGTATTTCTACAGGTATTCCCAGAAGGCTGCTAATACATGCTTCGATGTCGCAAAAATATCGGACAAACACATCGATTACAGCCAGTCATGATGAGTAGTTTATAGTTTATACTATATGTCCATTTTGGACAGCGTCTGGGTTTTTTGATTATAAGTTAGAATTCTGATGGCATAATTTTTGGTACCGAAAATTCAAGGCTCAATCAGTCTCGAATTCGAAATAAACATGTTATAATGACACTATATAATATTATATATTATTATATTATTCGTGTAGACTGATCGATGAGCATGCAGTATAATATTATATAATTATAGTGTAGCTACTATGTCGTAATTATAGTTCTGTGGTAAGATGGCGGAAGTTGAAACGTTATTTTTGTAACTTTTTGGAAAATAAATTTTAAGTTTAATTTTGAAACGAAAATTTAAAAAATATTTTATCCGTGTTACAAAACAGCGTGACTATTATTAACGGAAGTATTCCTTTCATATTTCTGCCAATTCACTTTTCCGCCATATCAAATAACCTGAAGGATAGTAATATAGTATTCGAATAAAATTAAATAATTGTAGGTAACTATAATTAGTGGTGAACAAAATATTAAATACCTAGCTAAAAAAAATATAAATAATTATACTGAATAAACAAATTTTTAAGTAAAAATGATTAAAACTGAATAAAATAAAGTAAACTATAAAGTTACTTATTTTTTTACTAGCGTTTCTTTATAAGTTTGAACTTGAACGAAATTCGATTTTGGTGCCGTATAATGAATGTAAGAAATAACAGCTATAATATGTGAATAAAGGAATACTTGCCGCAGTACACACATTACATGACCCACGAATATTATTTGAAACGTCGTGAGATATGAACCCACTAATTTATGATTTGGTGGAAAGTGAATTGTGCAGATAAGGGAAAGGTATAATTTTGGCGGAAACCGGCTATGCCCTAACATGGTAAGAAAATACCTATAGGAAAACTGGTAGAGGTGGTTCGAACTAAAAAATATGGTCTCGGATATTTTAATTATAGTCGAACAGACCATTTTTTGTTCGAAACGTATACGTGTTCCAATTTTTTTTTAAATTTGGATTAATCATTGCATTTTGATTACGTGACTAATACTTATCAATGACTGCTAACGATAAGAGGTCCAATCTGCATCTATTTATGTGTGGCACTTCGTTTCCTTTAAAAAATGTCAATTCTTACATATTTATATGATTCTTAAACTTGAATATTTGTATCATATTGACATTATTCAATATATTCCTCTCTCGAATGATAATAATACCTATGTAACAACTCAACTACAAAATAAATTTAAAAAACAATAAGTATTCCATATTCCAGTTTTTCCCTAGTAGAAATGTAGGAACAAATCTTGTTTACCGGAGTAACATTTTTTTTCGAGTCGATAATATTTTTCACACTAAATACAGATCTGCAAAAATGATGTGATAACCTCGCTAAGTTTGGAAGTTAACGACATTTAAATATCACCCGTATAGCCATATAATGCACCCAGCGCAGACGGCAGGTCATCGTGCGTTCCGCAATTGGTCACAATAACATTACGTAAATTAAAAAATATCAATCAATTTGCTATGAATAACCATCTCAAGTGTTAAGTTTGAAAAATTCAAGAGCTCTTATATAATGCCTAGGTACTGTGAAAATTATTATTATAGTTTAGAGTCTAATTTTAGGCTCTAAGTTGATAGGCAGTGAGTCTGAGTGATCTTTAAATATATATATAAATATCCTTAACTATCGACTCACAAAAAAATATATATTTCATATTATGAGACTTACCGGATCATCTGCGGGTCGGTGACAGTGCAAGTGGTAAAAAGCTAAAAAAGGTGACCAAAAATCAAATATTGAAATATAGGTACCCCTACAAGTTAAAATTATATGCAGTCATAATATCAATTATTATTTTATTATTTTCAACCGTTATTATTTTTAACGAATAGTTGACATTTTTCAGAAGACCGCGTACTACGTGAATGCATGAGGCTCACCAGTGGCGGCACTCAGTTTGAAAACCACTGGTCAATATAGTATATACTTAGAATACGAAAACTCATAGTAATCAGAGTTGAGTTTTTCTACTTTTTCCAAATTCATGAAATTATTATTATAAGTGTAACACACTAACACGTTTACCTAATATTTTTTTTTAAACAAGTGACTTTGAAGTTTGAGCACTAACTGTCTAAAATATGTATTGCCAACTAATTATAGTGTCTAAGAAAATTTAACTCTATTATTCATAATAGATTATTAAAACAATAGATAAGTAAAACTTTAATACTTACAAATCAGTATTATATTGGGTTTCAAACTATTAAATGTAATTTTGTAAATATTATAATAGGTATTCATTGGATTTGAACTTAATAATGTAAAATAAATAATTTATTGTACGAAATGTTTAATACTATAGTGAGTTGTTTATTATTTAACACGAATCTTACACAATATAGTTTATAAATAAAAAAAATCATTTGGTGTGAAACAAATGAATACATCTTGCTATAACACGATGTATTCACTTACATTAGAGATGTCGTTCGCGAATCCATTGAATATGGTGACTTATATCCGTAAAAACAGCGACTAAATCGTTTGTGTATGGATCCATGACACTCGCTATTCCGGTCAAAAATTGTAAAGCACCGTGTTCAAATATTAAGCCTGATCCAATAAATCCTTCAGTAATACTTTGTCCTACAATTTTAGATAAGAAATAACAATTATGCACTCATATAGGTACAATCAAAAACTTAATAATAAAAAAATATGTTTATAAATTAATGAATATTTAATTTGAGGTACTATACAAATATAACCAGGAAAATATAATAATTAATAATTATCGAAGAAAGAGTTTATCAAAATCCATAAGACATCAGATAAATGTTTTACAAAAGAGCAAACAAATTTATGACTTGTAAGTATATACTATATTATAGCTATGCATATTATGTATTTAGTATTTATGCAAAATGTAAGTACTTATTCGTTTTAAACTTATATTACCTAATTGAGAAACGGCGCAAAATTTATCATTAGTCACCAATGATTGAAATCCATTGGAATACATATCACGACAAGTATTTTTGTCAGTGTATGATACGTTTGCTTCTAACAAAACAGAACTTGTTTCCATATCTTCCGATTTTCCCCAGCCGACAGC